GTGGGATATAAATAAAGTTATTAATATTGATATTATTACCATAAACTCTGTATTGATATTGAAATACAGTACTTTAAAGCAAATTAAGACAAATAAAGGTAAACTGAACTGAATGTAAAGCAGTTTTACTGTATGGGGGACATGAGAGAAGCCTCACTGCAGGGTAGTAACACACTTGGGCATCCCCTAGGCAACGTTTTTGTAGATGGCTGATTATCTCACATCAGAAGCAACTTGCAGCATACAACGAAACAAAGCAACAAACCAACAGATCTTTTCAGGACCAAGTATGTCAATAATTTCAATCAACATTAAAAGCATTTCAGCTGCCAAAGAACAGCTGCTTTATGAACTGTGCCAAGATAAGCAATGTGATATGTTGGGTGTCCAAGAAACACATAGGAATAAACGAAATAAATGAAATTGGATGGTCACTCAATAGAGCAGTGTGATAGTTTTAAATATCTGGGCTTACACCTCGCATACAACGGTAACTGGAAGAACCATATAGAGGCAGCCAAATTATCTGCCTGGAGGTCAGCGAAAGCAATCCTAGCTTTTGGAAAAACAAAGGGAGGTTCACTAGTTTGTCCCACAGTAAAGATTTTTGTCGCTAAAATTTTACCCCAACTGTTATATGGAGCGGAAATTTGGGGGCAAGGTAATGCAGAACAGGTCGAATGCATTCAGAACAAGTTTGCAAGAGCTCTTCTAGCCCTTCCCTCTGGGACCCCAGCCGCCTTGCTAAGACTGGAATTAGATCTTCCCTCACTCAAGGCCAGAATGCACAAGCTTAACATCTCGTATGGGAAGAGATTGCTAGGATTGGAGGAGGAGAGCATAGCAAAGCAATGTTTGAGGGAACAGTTCAATCGGGGTGGATGGGTGCAATCCTGGCTAGCCTTACTCCATCAATATTTTGATGGGTCAATAACATCTCTAATGCAGCTGGACAAGAAGGCGATTAGTGATAAAATCTTTGAGAAGGATGCAGCTGACAATTTGGAGATTAGTAAAAAGCAAGGTTTTTCTATATGGTACCCCAGACTAAAGAGTGACCAATACTGCCAACAATATCTCCAAGACCTAACCTCAGCAGCGTTGAGGAAAGCCTTTACAGCCCTGCGCTTCCAAACAATGCCCTCAAACTGGCTAGAAGGGAGATACAGAGGGATCCCCCATGCCCAAAGGCTTTGCATTTGTGGCGCCGGGGAAAAAGAAGATCTAACACACTATCTATTACACTGCCCTTTGTATAACGACCCCAGAAAAAATCTCCTGGGAACACTCCTTGAAGAAAGGGCAGCATGACAAGAACCTGCCGTGATTGGTGACCTACTAGCAGATTATGACAAAAATATAACACTAAAAGTAGCCACATTTGCAATCGCAGCCCAAAAGATCAGAGACAGAGTAGTAAAATCCTCGCTGGAGACCAGATAGGGAAAGGGAGATGGCTAGGGAGGACACAGACCAGACGCGGTTTTTGCTAGGTTTCTGCCAGCAAAATTTTAAAGTACTAGTCTTTTAAATCTTGAACGGGTTTTGGTTAACATTGGATTGTATTTAATGTGTATATAAAGGCTGTATGTTTTTGATGTCATGGCCTATGGCTAGTGCAATAAACTTTATTCACTCATAGGAATAAACAACAGAAATGATCAAAAGTCCCAGGAATGATCTTTGTGGCGTAAAGACCACGTGCGAAGCATGGAAGTACTATCTTTGTCAAACCAGGCTTCCAAGTCAGCAATGCCCATAACACTGAAGAAAACAATTGTATAAACTATTGCTTATTCATGATAGTAAGCTTCCATCATCCTACAAAAGTGGGAGATGGTCCCAAGGATATAACCCAGACCTTCTGTTTGTGAGTGACAGCACTGTGCAACAATGCAATAAATCAGTGGGACCCCCAATACCAAACACACAGCATCGGCAGATAATATGCCAACTGTTTCCAAGAGAAGCGGATGGCAAAGACAGAAGAACAGCCTGCCCCAGAGGAGCGTGCTTGCTTCATCAATGTTTAACATCTGCACAAATTATCAGTCACTGCCAGAAGGGACAGAGAGCTTCATCTATGCTGATGATCGTGCCATCACCGCTCAAGCATGGAGCTTTGAAACAGTCAAACAGAAGCTCACTGAAGCTTTAGGTGCTCTTATTGCCTATTACAGGGAGAACTAGCTGATTCCTAATCAATCTAAAACACAAACATGTGCTTTTCACAAGCATCTCAAGCTCTGAGGATTACCTGGGAAAGATTCCCCCTGGAGCATTGCAGCACACCAAAATACCTGGAAGTTACTCTGGACCATGCTCTAACCTACAACAAGCACAGCTTGAATATCAAGCAAAAAGTGGGTGCTAGAAATTAAAAGCCTCCTTCTTTGGAGGCTTTTAAGCAGAGGCTGGATGGCCATTTGTCAGGGGTGATTTGAATGCAATATTCCTGCTTCTTGGCAGGGGGTTGGACTGGATGGCCCATGAGGTCTCTTCCAACTCTTTGATTCTATGATTCTATGATTCTATATCATATGAAAGCTGACAGGCACAACCTGGGGATCATAACCAGACACAGTGAAGACATCTGCCCTTGCGCTTTGCTACTCTGTTGCTGAATACGCATGTGTGTAAAACATTTCACCATGCTAAAACAGTGGATGTGGCTCTTAATGAGACATGCTGCATTATCACAGGATGTCTACGCCCCACACCACTGGAGAAATTACACTGTTTAGTCAGTATTGCACCACCTGACATCCGCTGGGAAGTAGCAGCCAGTAATGAAAGGATTCTCACTTGACTATGGAAACCATTTGGGGATCTTGGAAAAGACATATTCTCTCAGCCTTGGAGGAAGGTAATGGCCAATGCTCCCTGGACAAATCTTGCAGAGAAAACCCCATGATAGGTTTGCCATAGGGCAGTCCAAAAGGCACCAGGTCCTGTCTGATCTTGGAAGCTAAGCAGAGTCAGCCACAATTAGTACTTGGATATCTATCTATCTATCTATCTATCTATCTATCTATCTATCTATC